TATAGACAAAATGACGCCTTCTTTCGCATTCGCACACGAAAAAGATAGATTTATGCATACGTCTTGCATAGAAATGAGACAGAGCGGTGTGATTGTTTGTCCCTTTCTCCATGCCGGTTTTTTTGTTTAGCAAACTACACTTTGCTAAACAACTTTGACAGTTCATAGCGATCTAAGGAGTTGGACTGCGACAGGAGACAGGAGACAAGTTGATTTAAGTGACAAAAAAGTGTTTTGTGAGCTTAAGATTGGTGAATCTCGTACAGTTCAGTTCTTATAACAATTAAATTTTTTATCTTAAATATGTCTAAAAGTCAAAGGTTATTGTATAACCTAAAACTACGTTTAGTTTAGTTTAGTTTGCAACGGGCTGTTTTCCGCAACTCCACGTCTCTGCGCGTATTTTGCGTGTGGGCAGGAATAATGTGATTATTCGAGCCATGAGATCTCCCCGAAGAAGCTCAACAGTCCCTTGATGTTGCATGCAACTTCGGGGAGTGATCCCGGCGTGCCGAGATGTTTAGCCCTGTACGTAGCGACCTCCGGACATTTCAGTAGCACGTGGGCCGCCGTTTCTTCCTCCCCCATATATGCCCTGCACAGGGGACTATCTGTAACACCTATAGTAAATAAATGTTTGTTAAAGGTGCCATGTCCTGTGATAGCACTAGTTACTATCTTGATCTGCGGCTTGTTCAGTCTCATTAGAACTTTGGTTAAGCGACTGTTTATTACAGGTAGGGCCTCCCTAGCTTGTCTACAGTCTATTAGATTTTTCCAAAGCTGAGCGTGTTGATTAGTGAAGTGTCTACGTACCATTGAACGAACGTTACCAAAGGGGATTGGTATGATTGGTTCCGGCCCTATAGTGGCCAGAGCCGATCCTCTTCTGGCCAGTTCGTCCGCTGCATCGTTGCCTCTGGATCCACTGTGTCCCTTTATCCATTGTAGAGTCACATTGTTGTTTTTACATACCTCATTTAATCGTTGATGGCATTCATATATTAGTCCCGAGTTCACCCCATTGCAACTCAGAGCTTGTAGTACCGCCCTACTGTCGGTCAGTATTCTGATGGGGAAGTCATTAACCTTCCTAGCATCTATTGCTATGGCCGCTTGAATGATACCCATACATTCCGCCTGAAAGACCGTGTTATAGGTACCCAGCGGTGTGCATATGTGAATATTGAGGTCTTCAGAGAAAGCTCCAGAACCTACACCTTCCTTTGTTTTAGAACCATCGGTGAAAATTCTAAGCTCTTTTGGGCTTAATCCTTCCGGCTGGCTGTTTTCATTTAATTGTATCTTGTATTTCTTATCGAAAACAAATTAGGAATCCTATCGTATTTGGCTTGTAGGATAGGAATTTCTGAGTAAATTCTATCAATTATGCCTGTATGAGGGACACTATTCTTACTCCAAAGATTTAGGGTCTTGAGTCTGATGGCAGCTAAAGTCGCTTCTTGTTGTATATGTAGATGAAGCGGAGTTAGCTCCAGCATCGCTTCCAAGGCTGCTGTTGGCGTAGTTCTTATGCAGCCTGTGGCAGCCATACATGCCAGTCTCTGGTAGCGCTGAAGCTTCTTAATTGTGGTGGCTTCATTGGTCTTGGTCCACCATACCAGAGCGCCGTATGTGATCATGGGCCGGATTACAGTTTTGTAAAGCCACAGTATGATTTTTGGCGTCAGTCCCCATCTTTTGCCAATCATGTTTCTGCATTGCCAGAAAGTTATACTAGCTTTGTTGATTTTGTTTTCTATGTTTTTATTCCAGTTAAGTTTGCTGTCCAAGGTAAGACCTAAATATTTTACCTCAGAGGATAGCTGGAGTTTTGTGCTGAAAAGACTTGGAAGATGATAGTTATTCAGCATTCGTTTTTGTGTGAACATTACTAAAACCGTTTTATTTGGGTTGACGGTTAAGTCGTATTCCCTGCACCATCTCTCCACTATACGGAGAGGCGCTTGGGTCAGGTCGCACACTATGCTAGCTGTCTTTCCCGAGACCAGTATAGTCAGGTCATCAGCATAACCTACTGTATAAAAGTGATTAGTATTTAATTTGCTGATGAGTTCATTAATGGCTATATTCCACAGAAGAGGTGAGAGGACCCCACCCTGCGGGCAACCTTTCTTAATTAGGATTGGTTGAGATTCACCAGCAATCTTTATTATTCGTGTACTGAGCATGCAAACTATCCAGTCGATCAGTGCCGATTCAACTTTATGTCTACAGAGTGCACCTTTTATGCTGGAGAAGTTTGTTCTGTCAAAAGCACCTTCTATATCTATGAAGGAACCTAGACATATTTCTTTGTTTTGGATGGCCCCTTCAATCTTAGTAATTACCTGATGAAGTGCCGATTCTGTTGATTTGCCTAGACTGTAGGCGTGTTGCTTGTCGTGTAGTGGTAAGTTCATTAGCGCCGACCCCCTTAATTCCCTTTCACACATCCTCTCCATCGTCTTTAGGAGAAAGGATGTGAGGCTAATGGGCCTGTAGGATTTAGGGTCAGTGTAATCGCTCTTACCTGGTTTGGGTATAAATGTGATTTTCACTTCCCTCCATCCCCTAGGAACATATTTTAGAGCCAGACAGGCTCTCATTATGGCAACAAGTCTGACTATTAGGGCTTTACCCCCCCCACTGTAGAAGTGCCGGGAATATGCCGTCAGGTCCTGCCGCCTTATAGGGGAGGAAACTGTGAATGGCCCAATGGATTTTGTCCATCGTTACCACTCTCTGTGCTAAATTCCAGTCTTCTACTGTTGGTGTCAGTATGTCGTCATGCCGGTTTGCCTCCTGGGTTAAGCAGCAACCTGGGAAGTGCGTTTTAATTAGGATGCGTTGGGCTTCATCCGGCGATGTTGAGTAGCTACCGTCGGGTTTCTTTAGAGACATGGATCCCGACGTGTTCTGTTTAGCTAGAATATTCCTTATCCTATTTGCTTGTTTGCAGGTTTCTATGTTGCCACAGAATTTACGCCACCCAGTCGAGCGTCGATACCTGATACATTTTTTGTATTCAGACTTAGCTTTCTTATATAGTAGCCAGTCTTCATCCATTGAGGTATTCATGGCCCTGTTTAGGGCTTTTCTTACCTTCTTGCGTTTCCTATCGAGTTCTACACCCCACCACTGTTGCTTTACCTCGGCATGCCTTGGTGGAGTGATTTCTGGACATGATTCATGGTAGCTATCTATCATGGCCTTAGTAACAGCTGCTACCTGTTCTTCTAGGAGCGACTGATCTGCTATAGTATTTATCCCCTCAGAACCCTACGTTAACAGAAAACTACGTTATCGTCATTTCTCACTCGAGGCCACGCTAATCATTCGTCTATAGGTTTCTCTGTCTACGGATTAACCACTACTGAAATGTCAGATTATTAAACCAATTAGTCAAACCTATGGTCAAGCCAAAGAGTATAGTTAGGTTTGGCCAAAGACATTGTTTTTTAATGAAGGAAAATATAACTTAGAGTTATTACCATATTCTTGTCCAAAAAAAATTATCAACAATTAAAATATCGAATTATTTGTATGAAGGTCACGTGAGCGCAAGAGAAACAACGATTGTAAGACGTTGTTGATAAATAAAATGTTTAATGAAATAGTACAGTAAAAATAGAATTTAACTTTGCACTAGGATTCCGATCCAAATCTCACGACATCTCACCAGGGGGGAGGGAGGTACAGAAAATTAAAAAAACACCTCACGTAATTTATGGACGCCCCCTATGAAACACACCAGCATTACATTGATATTCTGTGAGAGTGTCGTCCTTCCCCAGTTGAGCTGACGCACGATTCGTTCTACAGCCATAATATGGCTACATCATGGCTTTACCTCTTATAGAATAGAATCCGCTTTTGTATGAAGGTCTTTAGTATGTATACTTCAAATGACGCGTTTTTAAACTATAAACTTCTTTAGAAACATTGCGATTTGAAATTCGGTAGATATTAAATTAGTTGTTTTAGATCATCTAATGACCATTTTACGAGTTAATCAATTTTTTTTTTGATAAAATGACTTTACCTAAAGATTGAAGTAGATGGCGCTATTAAAAAGTAATTTTACTCAAAAGAAAATATTTTTTGATTTATTACACTAAAATTTAGCCTATATATGTTTAAAAGCGCTCGCTGTGAATTTCACAGTACGCGAGCAAACCGGGTTCGATACCCGCCGGCACCAATAAAATTGTTAATTGCAATTTTAAGTGATGGCGTGCTCGGCGGTGAAGGGAAACATCGTGAGGAAACATGCATGTCAGAGAAATAAGAAAAAAAATATCGAAGACATGTGAAGTTCGCTAACACGCCTTGGGGCAGCGCGGCGGACAATTCCTTGCCCTTAAACCCTCTCAGAAATGAGCGGAGGTCTGTGCCTAGCAGTGGGACGTATATAGGCTGTAACTTAACTTTTAACTTTATGTCTAAAAAACATTTATTTGCTATAACATGAAACTTTTATATTATATTTTATGCCACACTTGTGGTTGAAAATTATCATGTTAATTATAGTAATCTCGCAGATTAGGTTGACATCAGAAAAATTTGGTATATTTTCAGGGTAATTTTGACAGATTGATTAAAACAGTTTTAATATTAATAACTTTTGACAAGCTTCTGAGAAAGCCTTATTAGTTATTATTAAATAGGTTGAAGAGGAACTCTGTGAAGAGTTAGTAAAAGGTTAAGGTTTAAATGTTTTCATTATCCGTTGGATATACCCTCATACTGTGGACTGCTGTAATGAACAGTAGCACTGAAGTATTTCATTAAAGTATAGGAAAAAGACATTACATATTTTGTTAAGCCGAAAATCCTGTCTTTTTATTATTTGCTTTTTTAATTTCTTCTTGTATAATATTGATATAATGATGCTACATAGTATTTATGTCATTAAAGTGTGGCATACCTAGGCAATAAATGTAATTTTTGCGTTTTCTTGCTTTTTAGTGAATATATTAGCATTTAATGTTTTATAGGAAAGCACAAATGGCGCAGAAACAGCCTCAGGTTGGAGTTGAAGAGGTTAAAGAGGTCACACAAAAAATGGCTCAAAGTACAATATCATCAGTACAGTCATCATCAGTCGCTAAAAATAAATATTTCGTAAGTTTTACACTTATAAGTTTATATGAAAATATTTTCTCTTATTTAAATATTGAATACCAATAAGTGCCACCTGATTCTGCAAATTATTTATAATTTATTAAAAGGAAGGGGATGAGAGTAATATTATTCAAAAGCTTTTTTTTTTATATAAGAGGGGGCAAATGAGCATTTGTCTCACACATAGAATACATTAATACTCATAATAGAACGGGTGAGATGTGTTTTGACAAATTATTTAGAAAATGCCAAAGTGCACGCTATTTACAAATAAATATGTATTAAAATCCGTCTGTCAACACAGCGAATCGGGTTTGTAGTAGTGATTAACTGATAATACGACGTAATTGCTTGTATGTGTGCTCCCGGCGACGCCTATCGTCGTACAAAATAAGGTTGACAGCCATTCTATTATGTATTATAGTATTCTATGGTCTCACATGATGGTAAGTGACTGCCATCAGCAATGAACAACTGCAACACGAGGGGAATTGTAGATGCGTTGTACAATATAGTATATTATATTAGTTTATTGCTTTTACGATTCAATACTGTGCCATAGATGTGCTGAAAAAAATTGTGTACGTGTGTTGCCATAATTGCAACATATACACATGACATTTTTATACAAAAAAAAATTCACCAATTAACTAGTCTAATTTCGACTAAACTCGCCTCTAGTAATTGTTAATCAGTAACATGATGAACACAAGATGATGCGTTGGGGCATATTCTAACTAGTTTTTAACAGACTTTAAAAAAGGAGGTGGTATTCAATTCAACTGTACTTTTTTGTGTGTTACCTCAGAACTTTTATAGAGGTACCGATTTTTATGATTCTGTTTTTATTTGTAAGCTGTTGCTTCTTACGTGGTCACATTTTTTTTTATAGAATAGGGGGCAAACAAGGATACGGCTCACCTGATGTTAAGTGACTACCGCCGCCCATGATCAACCGCAACACCAGCCGGCCTTTTAGAAAAGAGTAAGCTCTTTTCTTGAAGGGCTTCAGGTCGTATCGGTCCGGAAAAATCGCCGGTTGTAAACTATTCCACAGAGAAGTCGTACGCGGAAGAAAACTTGTGAAACGTACAGTGGTGGACCGCCAAGCATCCAGATGGTGTGGATGCTATCGCGACGTTTGCCGCGTAGTGCGTTCACGAAATTTGGCGGCTGGGATTAATACGAACAATTCCTCAGAGCACTCCCCATGGTATATGCGAAAGAAAATGCAAAGAGATGCAACATCTCTTCGCAGCGCCAGTGAATCGAGCCGATCGGAAAGCACTTGGTCGTCGACGATTCGAGCCGCTCTGCGCTGGATGCGGTCAATTGGAAGGTGCTGGTACTTGGGAGCCCCAGCCCAGAGATGGGAACAGTATTCCATGTGCGGTCGAACCTGCGCCTTGCCGGTGTGCCGGCATGAAATACTGTCCCGCTCTGCTGAGCACGCCGAGCTTTTTAGAGGCCAATTTGGCCTTCTCTTCCAAGTGACCACGAAACTGCAAGTCACTCGATATGTCGAGGACGTGCAGTTTCGTGGAGGATACCGATAGTGGCAGAGGCAACAGGGGGAGTGAATTGAAATTGTGGAGATACGACAAAGGGGTTCTTTTTAGCGGTTAACGCGCAAACTTGTGTCTTCTTCAATCCGAGACTGTTCAGCAAAGACTCGACTTCAGACACAAGTTTGTCCCGGTACTCGGAGACGTTTTTCCGAGAAATATTGGCACGGCCGGTGTACAGAGCATCACTAGTGCTGTCATCTGCATTGCAATGAATGTTACGGTTTGCAACATATCATTGATATGCAGAAGAAACAGCGTTGACGATAGCACGCAGCCTTGTGGAACACCAGCATTAATAGGCTTGTGATCAGAGCTTGCACCGTCTACAACGACCTCGATGCTCCGATCTGCAAGAAAGCTGGTGATCCAATCGCACAATTTCTCGGGAAACCCATAGGAAGGAAGCTTCGAAAGAAGCGCTTTGTGCCAAACCCGATCGAAGGCCGTCGCAGTGTCCAAACTAACGGCCAATGCCTCCCCCTTGGACTCTACTGCCTCCGCCCATCTATGAGTTAGGTAGACCAGAAGATCACCAGCTGATCGACCACGGCGAAAACCGTATTGGCGATCACTAATCAGCTGGTGATCCTCAAGGTAGCTCATGAGCTGGAAGTTAACAATAGACTCCATTGTTTTGGATAACAAGGAGGTAGGTGATGGCGATAGGCCGGTAGTTGGACGGGTCTGAGCGGTCGCCTTTTTTAGGGATCGGGTGGACGAAAGCCGTCTTCCATTATTTTTGGGACTACGCCTAGGGAGTAGGAGTACCGGAAAAGACGCGTTAAAACCGGTGCCAACTCTGGAGCACACGTCTTCGGCACAACTGGGGGGGATTCCGTCAGGCCCACTCGACTTGTGGATGTCCAGGGAGAGGAGTGCTTTGCGAACCGAGCGCTGTGTAAACTGCACTTCCGGCATAGAGCACTCACACCGCGGAATGGTCGGCGGCGTACTACCCCGGTCATCGAGAGTCGAATTGGACGCAAAGAAAGAGCCTAGCAGATCGACTTTCTCCTTTGCGGTATGGGCAAGTGAGTCGTCCTCCCTGAGCAGAGATGGAAGAGATGTCTGACAGAATTTCCCCTGAACAGCCTTGGCGAGAGACCAGAATGCACGGGTTCCAGATGGAAGGCGAACTAGTTTCTCGCCAATTTTGCCTATGTGCTTTGACTTTGCCTTGGCAATAACTCTTTTGAAGGACCTAGAGGCGGAATTATACTTTTTTTTTAGAGCACAGGTGCTTACATCCCGGGACGTTGATGCGTCAGCCCATGCTTGGTAGCACTCCTGCTTATAGCATGCTATTTTACAGGAGTGACCAAACCATGGCTGAGATTTGCCTCCAATGGGCACCACAGAGGAAGGAATAAAAAGTTCCATACCCTGGAGTACCACATCAGCGACAGAATCCGCAACAACGTTGGGATCGTCCGGCAAGAAGCAAACCCACGGGTAGGATGCAAAGAAAGACCGCATCCCATCCCAATCGGCTGACCTATAGTGCAAAACACGGCGGCAGTCTGCAGAATGTAACTGCGATTTCAGCGTGAGTGGCACCACACTCAAGACAAGACAATGGTCCGAGGAGCCTAAAGGGGCGTCGACGGAAATCTGATATCCGTCCTGGTGAGAGGTCAGCAGAAGGTCAAACAGGGAAGGTGCATGATCAGATCAGATCATGAACAGATCTCCCCGCATAATCGGTTAAGCGTGAACCAAGCCATTCGGCGTGATGGGCGTTAAAGTCCCCGAGGATCACGATCTCTGCGGAGGGGATCTGCTGTAGCAGCGAATCTGTAGCCATTTGGACGTGGTCGAAGAGTCGGTCTGTTTCGGCATTACTGCTATAGGACCTATAGAGGCACCCGTAGACGCGCGGATGGTCGTCGCTTTCTACGCGTAGCCAAAGGATGGACAGGTCCGAACCTTCATGTCTGCCGAGGCGTCGAGAACAGATGTCTTCTCTGACGTAAACTCAAACTCCAGCCCGAGGCACAAAGGAGTGTTCCAGTTTGTACCCCGGATAGGAGAGATACGAGACATGAGCTGGAGAGGTCACCCGTAGAAAGAGTAGAGCCGGCCTCGCCGTCTCGAGATGGTAGTGGACGGCGTTTGGGTTAGAGTTAAGTCCCCTGATATTGCAGAAATTCACGGATAGCGTGGCAGGGGTCGCCTTTGGTCTTGTTGCTCCGTTTGCCCAGAGCAGTTGTAGTTTTGAGCGGAATTTTGATTTTTTACTTTTGAATTTTGATTTGATAAGATACAATAATCGCTGCCAAAGTTTAATTTACTTGTTAATAAATTGCTAAAGTTATTTATTTTTTCTTTTAGAGAGAAGTAAAAGACACACCACCTGTTGTTAAAAAAGGTGAATCAGGAACGCCGTGCCAGGTTACGGCCAATTTTATTTACCTCAACTTTGAGGAAAATAACGTGTTTGAATATGAAGTGAAGTATGCACCTGAACAGGACTACAAGCATCTGCGTTTTAAACTACTGAATGGTCTGTTTTTGTCGTTTAAATCATATTATTATTGTTTGAAATCATTATTTGACGAAATAGAATTTATTTTACTTTTTAGATCATTTCTCAAGAGGTTTAGTACAAAAAAAAAACATTTAAATATAATAAGTTTAACTTGTTTCATAAATTCATAATTAATAAGTATAAAGCCGTTGGAAGATTACTGACAATACATTTGACGAATAAAAAATACTATTGGGTGGTATTACAAATAAAATAATTATAAAAAGTAATAAATAATCCTTAATTATTATGTAATAATTCTAGGAATGGTTTTTCTATTTTATACCATGATAGATGTTACAATCTAAAATCTCTGTTTTAGTTGGTATTATAAAATTGATGTGGCTTATAATAAATTAGATAAGTAAATAGGTATTAAATTACATCTTCGCTACATTGCCGTGTAGTAGTGCCGCTATCCCATGTCATTTTGTGGGTGTCGTTAGAGGCGACGGAGGGAAAAAAATCGGAAGATGAGCAGCAGCACCTTCCTAATAACGACTTAAAAATTACACTTGCCAACCCGCTTGCCAAGCTTGTCCATTATGGCAAATATTCCCCCTATGTAGCAATGTAAGTGGGAGGCCTGTGTTCAACAGTGGACTTAAATAGGCTGTAATGTTAAGATTTTCATAGTAAAATTAGGTGTTATTGGACTCGTAGCTAAATGTAAATAATTGTTGTTAGTAAAAGAATGGTGTTTTTAACTTTGCCACTGCCATTTAATTTACATCTGAATGATGAACAGTTCCTACTTATTATGGAAGATACACATTTCAGGATTTTTTATGTTATTCCTAATTTTTTTTTGTCATTAACTTGTTAGTAGTAAACATTCTATAATTAAGTATTTTTTTGTTTTATAGAGCATAACAAATACTTCAAAGAGAAAACATTTGATGGAACCACTCTATATGTTCCCCATATGTTGCCAGATGAAGCCACAAAACTTATATCAACAAATCCTTTTGACAACAGCAAAGTTGAAATTTCAGTAAGTTATAATCTTTTAAGAAATATAATACTAGCAATCCTATGAGCATTACTAATGTTCCCCTTATCCATTCCCAACAGTAGTCAAATGGTGGGTTCGAACTCACGACTCTTTAATACTGGAATTAATAGATCATGCTTTGAAAATACCCCCAATATCCATCATTCTGTAATTCTGAGTTTTTATTTACATGAAGAAATGCCTACGTATACTCGCCTCGTGGGGGGCAAGGGCCGGTTATGTAGAACTCGCACCGTTTTCCACCTTCGCCGCATATTGGTAAGGCTACGCGACCGCTTTATCACACACCCACGGCCCCACCAGCGCGGCAGCCCAATGGCAACCTCTCGGGGAGGACTTCTCACCGCCCATTCCCTTCTCAAGAAAGTCGCACTAGGAGCAGAAGGCGCGCTTATCTCCGTGTGGCCTCAAACTTGACCTGCGCAACGGACGCCCCCTGTCCGGTGTGCGAAGACACAAGCACTAGCCTTAGCCCCACCACTACCGCATGAACTCTCTTCGTCCGTGACTCCACCTCGGCTGTAGAAAGAGGTAGTCTCGCCAAGTCCACTCGGAGTGGCCACCTCGGGGCAACTCTTCACCTCGGGCCGACCATGTGGGGTTTCGTCTTTGTTCACCGCGGGCCACAGCTACTAAGCCTTCCGCTGCGGCGGGAATCCGTTCGGGGGAATCCAGCATTTTTGCCTTTGATAAACAATTACTGAAGAGTCCTCAACTTGGTATGGTTTTGCCATTATCGAGATCCCCTAGGGGACGATGCTGGTTACCCCCGCCTTGTCGTAGCGCGGGGACTTAGTAGCAGTGGTTTGGTCACCTATGGTGAACGAAGAGTAACCCACATTACTGGTATCAGGTGGCCACATGATGTTTTTTGTCGGCTGTGGCACGAGGGGTTTCCTCTCCCCTACTGCTGCAGCCAAAGTGGAGTCGCTGGGAAAGAGGAGTGTTGGTATGTGCTACTCATCATATCCTGCGCGACTCTGCCGGGGCCGCACTATTGATGCAGAGGTAGAGGGGCTGCAGGGGGAGGAGTAACGGTATTTTTTATATGTGGTGGAGCCATGCTGCAGTTATATTAGTGGTATAGTTGTAGCATGAATGGGTCGGCTCCACTTACTCCACTTACCATCTGGTGGACGTTATTAGACATTTCTATTCTATAAAAATGTTAATAACAAGTCCAGTTTTGATTATGTTATCGTTTATTCATTGATATTTTATTTTAAAATATAATTATCATTTGTAGATAATATTCAGGAGGACGCGGCGTTTAAGTGAGATGATACATATTTACAATGTGCTATTTAAGCACATTATGAAGGATCTTCAACTGGTGAGGTTTGGTCGACAGCACTACAATGAGAAGGGTGCCATACAAATACCGCAGCATAAACTTGAAGTTTGGCCCGGGTAAAATATATAATTTAATTAATGAACTTATCGTCTTTTTTTAATCTTTTTCCTTCAGCCCATAAAATTTGACTTTTCACTGTGAGACATAGTCTCCCGTTGTAGAGAGTATTTGTGTTCATCCCTCTTCGACGGCAGATTGACTTGTGTTACCATCTGTCCTGCACTGATGCTGATGCCGAGGAAACAAGAAAGTCATACAACCATCTATCGGAAGGAATAAGATGTTTCTGCATTTTATTATAGTCGCCTCTCACGACAGTGTTGGGATAATTGATTCTCTTATACTGGCACCACACAACTATATTGAATGAAGCAGAAAAACTTGAATGTGCAGGAAATAAGTCCTCTCATAAATTTCGTATTGCCCAAACAGAGTTTGATCATTGCCTGCAACACTGAAATTCGAAAAGAAATAGTTTGTATGATATTCACAAAGCCTGTCTTTTGTCCGTTTTTATTTTAATCTATTTATTTTATTCCAAAATATGTGCCAAAGGATTATTAATATTGAACATTTTACACTAAGACGTGTTTAAAATATTAACCCTTCAAGCGCCCATAAGAATCCCATGCAGTCGCATGCGACCGCACTCACCCACAGCACTTAAAACCATTAAAACTTATATTTAGAGACTAGTTTTCTATGAGTTTAGCATTATAAAATCTATACAAAATTCTCTATCCTGTGATCTAAACAAAAGTCAGGTTTTACTTCATTACAAAAAGATTTTATTGTATTTTGATAACAAAAAAAAAAAAACTACCAAGCGAATGTCGGCAGCGTGAAAATCACAATTATTCTTTTTCGTAAAAGTTAAATTATTCACACAAAAACTTTCATTACAATTTTATAATAAAACACTATACTAAAACACTAAAAAAATCCAAAAATCAACACACTAACATTAACGCGAAAATGGCGTTCGAAATGAACGTAGATTATAAATATTCATAGGATAAGTTTTTTTATTGCACTAGAGAATAGAGTATTTCATATTGATTATATAATGCCAAACTTCTTCATAGAAAGGTAGTCTCTATATATAAGTTTTTATGGATTAAAGTGCTGTGGGTGGGTGCGACCTCATGAGACCGCTAGGGATTTGACGGAATATGACCGCGATTTCATAAGACCGCTAGGGGGTTGAGAGGTTAAATTTGCAATACATATTTTGTTTATGCATTTTATAATTTTGTTAATATTAATTACTCAGGTATGTGACAGCAGTCGATGAATATGAAGGAGGTCTTATGTTGACCCTTGATTCTACTCATCGTGTACTTCGTACACAAAGTGTTTTGTCATTTATAAAAGAAACTGTGCAGAGCGAAGGCGCCAACTGGAAGCGAGCCTTGTCTGATAAGCTTGTCGGCTGTTCAGTTATGACCACATATAATAAAAAATTGTTTCGGTAAGTAATGAGCAAAATTAATAGATAATTGAAGAGAAAAGAATAAGTTTTTAAGAAAAATGTTTTGCTTCTTAGGGTGGATAGTATAGACGACACCATGACTCCGCGTTCAACATTTGAAAAGAATGAAAACGGTCAACCTGTAAAGATAAGTTTCGTTGACTACTACAAGAAAAATTATGGCATTGATATTATGGATTGGGATCAACCACTACTCATATCTAGGTGATTTCTTTTTCTATTTCTAGAATAATAAATAATATTAATAAATGCTACATTGCCGTTTTATCACTTTTCGTTGGTATTCACTGCCGAAGAGTTTGGTCTGGTTAGCTTTTAATATACATAGTAGTGATTGTCCCGTGGTCAAAATTTGATAATTCATTAAATTTTTAAGTTTGTATATAAACCAAGATATATATTCATTTTCAACATTAGAAATCACACAAAATTCACAGATTATTCAGTGAATCTGTCATTAATTATTTTCTTGGCAAAATTTTAAAAATTTTTGGCGACTCTGTGCGACTGTTCATAGATTATTAAGTGTTTGCAAATGATTTTCATAATGCCAATATTATAAATGCAAACAATGACTGTTTTATTTTATTTCATTTTATAGTATAATGTTATTTATAGTTTTGACTCTTTATATTTATTTATGCATATGATACGTATTATATATTCGTATATATATATATATATATATATATATATATATATATATATATATATATATATATATATATATTAGAGATGGGCCGAATATTCGTTTTAAAATTTGGGTATTAGTGTCCAATGTATTGAAATGTACGAATTGAGTAATGCGATGTCTTTTACTGTTGAAAGTATATTTTATTTATGGGTTAAATCTACTTACTTTAGAGTGCCTCAAATGCATCATAAATCTATACATTTACGTTTTTGAGGCACTGTACATTTATTTCCGATTATGGCAAATAGAAACTTGATAAAATGTTTTTGGAATAAAACAAAGAAACATTACATTACATTAGTACTTTACTTTGGTTGTCACTTTCTCTAAAATAAGTCCAAATAATGAATCTCCTGCCGCTCATTTTTATCAATCAATTTTCACTAAGAATAAAACAACGAAATACTTTTTTTTATCACAAGAATAGTAAAAACATAAGCATGTGCCGGCAATTTGCTCAGTACTAATTGATGCAATAACTGTCAGGTGTGGCTACCCGCCACGATGCAGGCTCCGGCGCTAATCCCGCGCGCTTTAAGCGGGCTACATACGAGACGATATCGGTGGCGATCTAGGGTGGAAAGAAATCGGGGCTTTTATCGAGGCAGACCCTACACACGGGCCTGCCTAGCAGTACGCGTTTGGACTCGGAGCGGAACGCATATGCGGTAGAGTTCTTCAAAATGCCTCCGACTCTCTTAAAACACCAACGTGTTGGTTTGGAATTAGCCCTCTCGGTTAATTTATTCAAAAATAGAAAAAGAGGAGTTGCTGGGTGAAAAATGGCTCCAAAAGAGACAAAAATTAAGCCACATAAACGTACTAAATGGTCTGTAATCCAAAGACATGATTAATTTTCTCCGGATGGATGAAGACAGTTTTTACAACCTTCTAGAATTTTTCTACATTTATGATTCGCAACTTATATAAAAACATCAATTTCTCCTACCTATGCTATTTAGTTATTTCTTCTCTTTGTTCATTTCTGCTTTGGTCAAAATCGGGTATGTAATACACACAACGAACAAAGAAATAACAAAATCGGGTTATGTACTACACACAAAGAAATAAAATACTTTTGTATAATAATATGTATACTTTTTTAATGTAATCTTTATTTATGGATTAAAACTATCAAAAAATAAAATAGCTTATATCTTTTATCTTTTAAACATAAAGAAACCTTTAATTTCGGACATATTCCCTTCTATATAGCTTGTTTGTTGATGTGGATATGGTGAAGGAGTAGGAGTTAGTTGTTGATGAGAGGATGAAGGCTCATAAGAGATATGAGTGCGGTCTTGTGTTGATAGCGTTGGAATAGGAGTTAGTTGTTGAGGAGAGACTTTATCTTCTCCTTACTTACTTCATACACCCTACTTTATGAGCGGCAATAAAATAATTAGTTTAACAGGCATTCTTGACTTCGCAAGGTCACAGGCTAGGGTGGATATGATTTGAATTTCGATAGATTTTAATTAATTTATTTATTTAATTTTTTTTGTATTTTGTAAAATATCAGTGCCATAGGCTTCTACTCCGTTCACATGTTTAAAATGTAAAATTTTTGTTATGTAAAAAGGTTATTTAGTATCACCGTTTCGTTAACGTCCTTCCGCGAGGGCTGCCGGCAGCGACTGCCAAAAGAAATCGGGCCGATGCGCCTACACACACGCAGTACGGAGGGGGCGGGGCCCCGATCTAGGAAGCATCGGCTGCATTTTTGCTCCTGCCAGCCGATTAAGGAGGCGATATCGGCCACGACTTAGGATGGCCCTACATACGACACGATTTAGAGGCAATCTAGGAGGCATCCCCACTACTCCACCCTAGATCGCCACCGATATCATGTCGTATGTAGCCCGCTTTACGGTAACAAGTTTCGACATATTAAATTGGTTAGGTGCCGAGGTTATCCCGCCGAATAATGTTCGACGGATATTCGGTTCGGTAATATATATATATATATATATATATATATATATATATATATATATATATATATATATATATATTTTAAGAGTTTATTTATGCATCCCAACCAGATGATAAGTACCATAAAAATATCCATAACAGTAATAGATTTTCTTATAGCTTGTGTTTAATAATTTAACTGCCATATTAAAAATATTTTATTTATTCGGCTATCGGGCGCTTTTCCATTCGCCGCACGGCACCGACACGGCACTGGCCCGGCTGCTGGACAGCAAAAATTTATTATATGTATGGCATGTGCAGGCGTGTTTTTCCACCTTACCTTCGCCGGTGCCGGGGCAGCAAGCTTCTCGCTCGATACATGCCGGTAAAACTGCATGTGCATTGTGTACGTATTGTAGCCGTGTTGTGAAATGATGAAAGGTGTCGTTCATGTAGAAGTAGTTAAAATATTTTTGGATTTCATTTTCAAGTTTTAAAATAGGATTTAGTAGGGGGAGTCCGGGAGAGTTGAAACGATTTTTACATATTTTTTGTTCACAGAGTTTAGAGAATCGATTATACAATTTTGCGATACCTTATTATAGTATATAGCTATATTTGTGCATAATTGTATTTTTATATAACGAGCAGGTAAAAAAAATATTTGGCATTTTCATAAAAATGAGATACGAGTCAAGTCTCCCCACCAGCCAGGACACTTGAACCGGGGTATGGGGAGAGTTTTAGGAAAAAGAAAAATAATTTGCAGCTTGAATCATAGCTTTATTAAGTGATAAATTATAAAAGTGAATTTCAATAATCATTATTTATAATCTATATTAAATCAAAAAGTTTCTGTTTTTGTTATCTTATACAATAATTAACTTGCTTTTAGTACTCCCAGCTAGGAAAACAAAAAATTACAAATTTTCATAAAGATTGTAATAAAATGTTCCAAAATAAACAAAACTACAACAATAAACTTTTTAAACAAACATGTTATTACTTATTTTAGTTTTTTTTATTATTACCTTATTTCTAATAATTTGACATCATTTACCAGTCTCTAAATTATTGTTAATCAATATGAAATCTTTTTTAATATACCTTTCTCAAATAAACGTTGCCTTAACCAAATTACCGAACATTAATTATTAACTTAGATAACATATTACTATCAAACTTTGTAACAATCAGTCTTTATAAACTTTTTTAAAACTATTAATTTTTAATAAATCTTTGATCAGTATCAAAATGATTTAATAAATTTAAATCACATAAATATTTTTTACTTTATACTGCCCAGAAAACTATTTCTTATCACATTCATGACAAATGAAATAGAATATACATAACTCATGAACATATATTATCTATAACATAAAAGACAGAGACGGAAAACGTCTTCCGTTTCATAAACAAACTCTCTGGTTAACTCTCCCGCTCACACTAGTTTCACGTTTAGCGCATGGCATAGAAAAACCTCAAATCGTAAAGAAAAAACTACTCAGCACACTTTAAACTACCATTAATCTGGTAATAAAATAATAGTAACTCATAATACTTACCTCAATAAACACAACAGCAATCACAAAACTACTTAAATTTAAAAAAAAATACTCGCAGCAACTAAAACGCGTTTTACATTCTCACTGCCAAATAAAACAGCTATTATGCAAAATGGCGGCATAATTTGTGTTTGGCCTCCAATGAACGAATTGACGTTCCGTTCGCGCTAAATTGAAATACAATTTTAAAAGATGGTCCAACTCACCCTCCTGGGCAAGTCTCCTGGATTCCCACTGTATTTATTCTTAGTATCTTATTTCTAAGATATAATTTAATTAGATGAATTTAAAATTTGACTTCTCTGCGTTGATTTTATTTTCGTCTTAAATGCAAGAGATCAATACGATGACTTGACGAGACCATTTTTACGTGTTGTAGAACTGAAGTCTGTGTTAGTACTGCATCGAGCGTAGACCGGCACCGGCATTGGCCCAGTGGAGAAATGAAGCTCCGAGTGGAAAAGGTGTGCCGAGCCGGCAAATGGAAAAGCACCCATTAGATAATACTAGTTTAGTTTACGACGGGCTGTTTTCCGCAACTCCACGTCTAAGCGCGTATTTTGCGTGTGGACATGAATAATGTTGTTATTCGAACCATGATATTTCCCCGAAAAAGTTCAACAGTCCTTTGATGTTCAAGCAACTTCGGGAAGTGATCCCGGCGTGCCGAGGTGTTTAGCTCTGTATGAAGCGACTTCTGGACATGTCAGCAACACTTGAGCCGCCGTTTCTTCCTCTCCCATGCATGCCCTGCACAGGGGGCTATCAGTAACACCTATGGTAAACAAATGTTTGTTAAAAGAGCCATGTCCTGTGATAGCACTTGTTACTATCCTGATCTGTGGCTTGTTCAGTCTCATTAGAACCTTGGTTAGACGACTGTTTATTTCAGGTAGTTCCTCCCTAGCTTGTCTGTAGTTTACTAGATTTTCCAAAGCTGAGCGTATGGTATGGTCACAGGGGGATTGGGTGACATAGGTTCTGTAAAGTGCTCGAAACGTCGCGTCGGGTATATACAAAAGTTAGTATACGCGATAAAATTCGTAAAAACTAGTATTGTTTAAATGTGTAGTGTTTGCGTAAATATAAGAAATCATTAAGTACCCATTAGGTTTTAACCCGCTATAACTAGTTAGATATAGTCGATTGCGGTTAGTTAAACTTAGGCTTATTTAATTTATATGCGTTTCTTTCAACTAGGTCTAGTAAAGTTGGAATAACAATTAAAATAACGGACTTCTGTTGAATTTGTCAGAGAACCAGTGCTATGGGTTTAATTAAATATAAGTTAACCCTTTCGCTCGGCTAACAATCTAATCAGATCATACAATACCTACCTTACGCCCGCTCTAGTACGGGGCTAATTAGATCAGATAATATCAGAAGTACTGCCTTATGAAAAAACTACTTTTTCCTTTAAAACAAAACCAAAGACAATATGCAATAGATAATAGTATCAAAGACAAAGATATGCTCTTTTATTTTAAACCATAACCTGGCAATGTTTCTTAGAAAAAAAAAAAAGAAATCACTCTAAACTTTCGGCGTTCCACGTGTCGTTTTGATGAATGTGCTCCATCTTTTTTATAGAATTTTATAATTGTGTCTGGACTAAAAACGAAAGTATTATACTTTTTTTATATTCCTTGTAATATAGTGAACACGAAGATATATAATTTGTGGTATAAAAAGTGAAAAGTAAATTGCCAAAAGTGCTTCAAAATCTGGAAGGCCCATTATGGCGGCTGGGTCATAAATGCGTTATTTTTCATATTCTCATTTATTTTTAGTGTAAAATGTAAGTAAAAATAGTTTTCTTATATATTTCAAATAACTTGACGTTGTATTTATTTCAAATTCACACATAATTATTTTTGAAATATTGTTCTAAATGTCACACAGATAAAATATTATTATAGTTTTTTTTATATTTCAATATTTTGGTATGAGTAACGAATGGAAACATATAAAACATAAAAATATGCATATTTCCAAACATTTTCATATAAATTTCTCCAAAAAACAAAGTTTAGAATTCAAATTAGTAGTAATTTTGTCACTAAAATTGAAGTATATGGTACTACTATGCTATATAGGGTAATTTATGTATTTTATTACAATTTCTAGCAACCAAAAATAATTTTATTCGATAGTTTATACATTCAACAAGAAATCCTGTAAGTTTTATCCATAAATATTGTCTCAAAGTGAAAATATAGCAAAATTTCCAATATAGCAAAAAATTTGCTAATTTGCAAATTTTCCCGCCATTACGGTCCCGAGCGAACGGGAGTATAACATGTCGCGCGCTGTCAGAGCGAAAGGGTTAAAAAAAAGTTTCATTTATTTATTTCTTACTCAACAGAGAAACGAAGCGCATGCCGGGATCCGAAGAGCCCACAGATTTTATGATCTGCTTAATACCTGAGTTATGTCAACTGACTGGTCTGACTGATGATCAGCGAAGTAATTTCCGTCTTATGAAAGATGTCGCCACCTATACTCGGATTACACCTAATCAGCGACATGCTGCTTTTAAAAAGGTAAAGCGTTCACACAAAACTCTAATAGATTAAGGTCCTTTCTGCCTACAAACACAAACAATTTGTTCTATTTATTTGATAATAATGTTACAATACTTACGAGGGTGGATTGAAAAGTACTCGGCCTAACCAAGAAAATAAACACATACTAAATCAGTTATATTTTTATTTTTCTACATAATCACTATCAAGTTCAATACACTTTTGCCACCTCCCCTTCCAAGCATTTAGACCGTTGAAAAAAAATGATTCTTCCTTAGAGTCAAAATATGCGTCTACAGCTGCTTTGACCTCGTCGTTTGTCGAAAATCCAAGTGCTTTTTTAGGTTAGGGAACAGAAAGAAGTCTGATGGTGCCAGATCAGGTGAATACGGCGGATGCGGTAACAGTTCAAAGCCACAGTTGTGAATTTCAGCCATTGACTGTACTGACGTGTGAACACGGGCGTTATCTTGATGAAACAGGACTTTTCTTCTGAGCATTCCTCGACGTTTTTCTTTTATTTCCTCTCGTAAACGACGTAGTAAGGTGCAGTAGTAATCAGAGTTTAGAGTCTGACCCCTTTCAAGATAATCAATCATAATCACACCTTTCGAGTCCCAGAATACTGAAACCATCACCTTATTTGCCTACAAAATCGACTTAGCCTTTTTAGGGGGTGGTGAACCAGGTCTTCTCCACTGTTTTGATTGTTGTTTTGTTTCCGGTGTACAGTAATGAACCCATGTTTCGTCCATAGTAACAAAACGATTCAAAAAATCATCTGCATCGGCTTCAAATAACTCCAAACAGTCGCGTGAAATAGTCAATCGCGTCCTTTTTTGTTCAACTGAAAGCAGTCGCGGAACCCACCTCGCAGACACCTTGTGGAAACCCAACTCGTTGACAATGATGTTTTGAGTTCGTTCATAAGAGATGTCTATAATCTCGGCTATCTCTCTAATTTTTAATCTGCGGTCTCCCATTATTAAATCAAGTACTTTTTTTAATATTTTCGTCAGTAGTTGACGTCGAAGGCCTTCCAGAGCGGGGTTCATCTTTCACACTCTCTCTACCACGCTTAAATTCTGCTATCCATTTTTTGACGGATGAATATGACAGAGCACAATCGCCTAATGTACTGACCATGTCATCATGGATGGCTTTTGATGATAGCCCCTTCTTATGGAGGTACTTAATGACGGCACGCTGCTCGATTTGCTCCATTCGCGGAAATTATGTCCAATTACTTTGTTAATAAATTTATAAAATCACAACTAATTATCGCACACGTTTCGAACTTCACACAATGAACTAGTCTGAACTGAACTAAATAATGTGGGTAGATTTGATTTTTAGAATTGAATGGATCTGTGTTAGGCCGAGTACTTTTCAATCCACCTAGGTAAATCAATATTTTACGGTATATACATAAGCTTTACCGTATACCGATGCCATGAACAAACATAATAATTCTTATTTCTAATTATGTGATATATCGGAATATTGAGATCATAATATTGTGATGCATGCACAGTCAATGAACCGTTTTGCTATCCTATTAACTATAAAAAGCTGTATTTCATATCCCATTAACTATAACAAGCCAATTAGTAGTGATTTAAAATCGATGAAGGCGATGCTATCAGTCGCCTCTTACGATATCTATCATAAGAGGCGACAGAGGTAAACTTAAACAGGAGATGGGCAGCAGTAACTACCTGATAACATCCCAAAATAATAAAGACTTGCAGCTTCAAACTCGCCTGACAAGTGTAGCAGCAATGGCAGATATCCCCACTTGAGTGTCAATGCCAGTTTGTCAGGCCTATGTTCAACAGTAGACTTTTGATATGCTGTAACCCTAACTATAACAGGGGCAAAGATTTTGATTATATTTAATAAATAATATCGCAATATATAAGTACTTATACATTTTAAACTACCTATCTAAATTACATCTCTTAAGGGGAAATATAATCTCAAATGGCTTAGCAAGATCCTTCGTTATGCCGAAAATATTGCAGTATTAATTTTGAAATAAATATTTGGTAAAGTTGAGGATTAATGTTAAGGATTATGTTAGACGAAAACATGATTTCGTAAAATTTTCTCGATAGAAAAAAAATCCAAAGTTACCTCCAAAATAAACAATAAACCGCTGTTATTCATAAAATACTTTAAATAAGATCATGAAACTTTGCATACTAACTGAACTAACTATAAAGCAGTGCTTATGTTATTTACTTTTTTTTAAATACCATTATTTTCACTGTAAAAAGAAATTACCTAAACTATCGGCCTCTTGAAGCGTGATTCCTGCCGCACGGTCACTTCGCTTCGGCCTTTGAAGGGGGAGGTTGTGTCGCTTACGATCAGAATATACATTACGCAACAGGACGACGTAAAATTAAAATGGAAAATAACCGTAATAAAAATAAGAAGTGACTGGCTTGGCGTTAAGAAACAGGCATAAATATGATAAACCTAATGTCTAACGACCTTTCTATTTACAGTATTAGTGATTACAAACATGTCGGTACATAGCATACGACGCGCGGGCAAGTGGGAACGAAATTAGAATTTGAGCTGACTTACTATATCCCCTTAAGTTTTTTGACTCAGTCTGTGTATCATATATACAAATCACGAAAATATCTCTATTGTTGATATAACAATACAAAATTTATAACCAGAAACTAAACAAAACACGGAAATCAAAACTGCACAATACTTCGAGCGCATTTTAAGTAGGAATATATTATTTTAATTCATCAAAGTAGTAGCTGTTTTTCGGACTGTTTAAATGTATCAATAGAAATTCAATTCTGGTCTAATGACTGTAAGTCACTTTTGTAATCTCATTTTCTTACTGTTTTTTTAACATTTTCAGTATATCCAAAATGTCCTTGGAAATGAAACGGCAAAAAATCGTTTAGCAGGATGGGGTCTCAGCATTGCCCCAGAGACAATAAATATTACAGCAAGAACTTTGCCACCTGAGACATTATACTTTGGGAATGACGTCAAAGTGCCTGGGAAACCTAATGCAGAGTGGAATGGCGAAGTATCGAAAAATGCGGTGATGCAAGCCGTGGATATACTCCGATGGGTTATACTGTTCACGGACAGGGATAAAAATGTTACGACAGTAAGTGGCAATTATAGTATGTTACTTTAAAAAATGTTTAGTAATTGCTTTGTACTTACTTCATTTTGCTTATTTCTTAGTTCTTTTTTCCGAACTCCACGTCTGAGCGCGTATTTTGCGTGTTCGGGCCATGAAATCTCCCCAAAGAAGTTCAACAGTCCTTTGATGTTGCAAGCAACTTCAGGGAGCGATCCCGGCGTGCCTAGATGTTTAGCCCTGTATGCAGTGACCTCCGGACATGTCACAACACGTGGGCTGCCGTTTATTCCTCCCCCATACATGCCCTGTACAGGGGACTACCTGTAATACCTATGGTAAATAAATGTTTGTTAAAGGAGCCATGTCCTGTGATAGCACTTGTTACTATCCTGATCTGTGGCTAGTTCAGTCTCATTAGAAACTTGGTTAGACAAATGTTTATTTAACCTTTCCCTTGCCGCGCCCGCCATAACAAAAAACAGAGCTTTGTACCGGGGCCTCTGTCGTCACCTCAGCTGGCGGCACTTGTTATAAACACTTATGTTTCTCACGACCTTTCGTTTATGTTTAAAGAGGTTTTAGTTACAGTTATTTGAAGCCGATAAGATTTTTTGATAAGTAGAAACAATAACCATAACATAATAATTTTTATTTTACTTTGTACAGCTCTTTGTTTCTAACCGATCTTGATAAAGTGTACTTACTGACGATAAATTTTATTTTATGAATGAAACATCGTAAGTTTCTATTTTATTTTTATGTCCTTACAATCAATACAACATATTCTTCCTAAATGAACCGAAATTATGCATGTAATAATTATAATAATTCTACTTTTTTTACTTGCAAACATTTGCTAAAAAATTCGACAATAGACAGTTCGCGCTTGCTTTGAAAATGAGTTTACACTTACTTTTTACTTTACTATTTACTTTTTGTGTATATATTTTATATCGTCTTCCTTTATTTTTCTTATACAATCATATAGATATAACATTTAGCAATTCCTAGTCAAAGTATTTACTGTGGTATTCCAATAAGAAATATACTATTATTATTTTATTAGAATCTTATTAGAAATCTTGACCGTTATGAATTGTTCGCGTAGAGGTTTTCTACTTTTTTATCGATTGAAACATAAAAAGTTACTGTTGTTGTAACTTAAATCATTCAAAAATATTACGTAGTAAAGATAAATAATATTACTTACAGTTTTTTTGAAAGAAAATCCAACTAAAATCACAATCACAAAACTTCAACGATTACGCAACTAACCGTACCGGTATGCAAAGGCGAATGGCTGTTATAATTGATTTTGTCTATGTAACCGAGTGAATATAATTCTTCAGAATATTCTTTAGTTCGTTCACAATCGAATGAAATAGTGTTCAATCGAAAATATACTGTATTTTTATATCAATTAATGACGAAAATAGCAGCACGTAATGCGGACATGTATACATGTCCTCGGTACTCAGTGGTCACAAAACGTGGACATGTTAACATGTCCATGGTACCTTAAGGGTTAAGGCAGTTCCTCCCTGGCTTGTCTGCAGTTTACTAGATTTTCCAAGCTGAGTGTATAGATTAGTGAAGTTTCTATGTACCAGTGAACGAACTTTACTAAAGGGGATTGGTATTATTGGTTCCGGTCCTAAGGTGGCCAGAGCGGATCCTCTTCTGGCCAGTTCATCTGCTGCATCGTTGCCTCTGGATCCACTGTGTCCCTTAATCCATTGCAGAGTCACATTGTTACTCTGCAATGGATGCTTACATACCTCATTTAATTGTTAATGGCATTCATATAATAGTCAGAGCTTGTAGTACCGCCATACTGTAGGTCAGTATTCTGATGCAGAAGTCCTACCTTCTTTTACCTTCCTAGCATCTATTGCTATGGCCGCTTGCATTGTGCCTGAAAGACTATGTTATGGGTACCCAGCGGTGTACATATGTGGATATTAAGGTCTTCAGAGAAAGTTCCAGATACTACAACTTCATTTGTTTTAGAACCAGCCATGAAAATGCTAAACTCTTTTGGATTTAATCTCTCCGGCTGGTCGGTTTCATTTAATGTATCTTGTACTTTTTATTAAATACAAATTGTTTTAGGATATTATCATACGGTTTGTAAGATAGAAATTTTTAAGTAAATTCTATCAATTATACCTGTATGAGGGACTCTACTCTTGGGTCTTGAGTCTAATGGCAGCTAAAGTTGCTTCTTGTTGTATGTGTAGATGAAGCGGGGTTAGCTCTAGTATAGCCTCTAAAGCTGCTGTTGATTTAGTTCTTATGCAGCCTGCGGCAGCCGTACTAATGCCATAAAAGCTAGTCTCATATATAATGACGGTATTATCATCTTGTTTACATTAGACTTAAAATACCCAGATCGGCATTAGGGAGCAGTGCCAAAGTTGTCTAAATCTCTTTAAATTTATCTGTAACTGATGATGATGAGGACCTATTATTATCTTACACTATACAATATGTAACATAATTAACGCACACCCCCAGACACCCCAATTAGTATATTATGTTATAATCGTAATACATACACTGAATTTTATAGTTAAACATTTTTATGCACTGATTATTTATCAAATTAGTTATACTAATTCAGGAAGAATGTTGTGGTCACAGTACAAATCCACGAACGCAAAGACTTTAACGTGCTTGAAATAAAGTTCATTTTTCTTTATTTTTATTGAATGACAGAATTAGTAATAATACAAATAAAACTGCACTCTTAAGTCTTATTGTCTTAAGTTATGGTCCATTTCAGTTTGTTTTGACTGTACAGATTTAGTGTGACTGTAATATACGTATTTTTAATTATTTTTGGGATAAAAAATTACCTATATTAAAAATGATAGGAATCGATTCAGTAAACGATTCTGAACAAACTACTTTCTCAAAGTGCGTTAATTACGTTGCGTGTTGTATAATATTACCAAGTTAAAAAAATATACATGTATATAAATAAATATTTGTCTGTGTCCATTCCGTGGGTGTCGTCAGAGGCGACATAGGGAAACAAATTAGGAAATGGAAAGCAGCGTCTTCCTAATAGTGACGTAAACATTAAAAAAACTGCGGTTGTCGACTCTCTTGCGCAGCATGACAACTCTGGCAAATATTTATCCTATGAGGCAATCTGTGGGGGAGGCCTATGTTCAGCAGTGGAATTTAAAAGGCTGTAATGGTGTACATAATTATTATAAATTTTCAGGATTTCCTAGATACATTAAAGCGTTGCTGTCGACCAATGGGTATCAATGTGTCTAGCCCAGAATTGATACGCCTACCCAACGACCGCACAGATTCATATGTAGTGGCTTTGAAGAAATGTATCATGTCGAATCTTCAGTTAGTCGTGGCAATTTGTCCGACGTCACGTGACGACCGTTATGCCGCTATCAAGAAAATATGCTGTGTTGACTACCCTGTACCTTCACAGGTTAGCTATATTATTTAAATGTTTTAAACAATTAATTGGGTTGAGGGATTCCTCGATTAAAAATTAAAATACAGATTGCATCGTCATTCCTGTGAACTGAAGACTATGCCAGTTCTCGACACTTAACATACTAAAACATACCAACACTATGTCTTTATCTTACGCTGGTATTCTGTGAGAGTGTTGCGCATTCCACAGTAGAGTCAACCCATTTCTGCTGCAATCAAAATTTTCTTGTAGTGGGCTTCTATTAAATTCTTTTAATTTTAAATGTTTGTATGGTATTATACTTTTTAGTCAACATATTTTTAAAGTTCATTTTTGTATGAGGTAGAGTAATGTATAATTTTTCTGATTTTATCATTTCTTTTTACGAATTTGTACTGTATTTTGTGACAAAAAGAAAGAAAAAATGAAAATATAGTGAGAATTCCTAAGGAAGAGGTTAAAATTATCCCTAATTTCGATGGCGATACTAGACTTACCACTGTTTATAAAAAAATGTGAGTACATACTTCATTAATTCCGAGGAAACCAGTTACAAAACAAATATTCATTCTCGAATCCTTAAAATTAAACCGTAGTAAAAGTTACCAGGAATTTTGTCACAGGATACAACATTTGAGAATTGTTTTATTTTCCAAGATTAGCGAAACAATTGACGATCCGAACTTACGTCTAGCGAAACAATCTATTTTTAACCATAATTCACTAAATGAGTTTCCCGGCATATTTAGTTAGAGTAGAAAAATAATTGAAATTGGAAACATTTTTAATGCAACCATTAATACTGCAGTTTAAAGCATTTTAACGCGATAAATTCCGTAAAAAAAAAACTAGTTTTATTAATTTTGTAATCGCGTAAAATAAGAAATATAAAAATGAAGAATTTTTGATATGATTTTAGTATAGCATTATTTCTCTTAGAACAATACTTAATTTTGTTTTCAGAAGTTAAGATATTGAGTGCTTCTTATTTCTAACATTATTTTTTGTAGGTGATTAATGCACGAACTATTATGAACAGCCAAAAAATTCGTGCAATAACTCAAAAGATTCTACTTCAAATCAATTGCAAGCTAGGCGGTACTCTATGGAACATCAGTATACCAATGAAATCTGCCATGATTATTGGAATTGATTCTTATCATGATGCAAGCCGAAAAAAGCATAGTGTTTGCGGTGAGTATATTTAAATATTTTTATAATATATAACTTTATACTGTTTTTGCTACTTTTGGTTTAAACATTTTAATACACTGATTCCTAAGTGCACAGAGAACATAATCATTATTAGCCCTTAATAGACCACACGCAAGTGTTAGTAACAATCCAAGAGCAAGTCTTATCCGACACTATTCCGATGATATCCCAGACCTCAGTCTGAGCGAGATTAGAATGGCTCTCCAGCACCTTAAAATTGGTAAGGTCCCAGGTGAGGATGGAATTATAGCGGAGCTACTGAAAGCGGGTGGAACACCGGTACTTAAAGTCCATCAGAAGCTCTTCAATTCCATCCTCCATGGTGGCATTAAACAATAAATTTACAGGCGGTGTTACAGTCTCTTCAGTGGTGCTTCAGTCTCTTCAGTGGTGCCAAGTTGACTGTCGGTATATCGAAGTGCTGAAGTGTTTGTACAGTAGGGCTACAATGGCTATCCGAGTAAAGAACCAGAGTACGAAACCTATCCAACTGCAGAGAGGTGTAAGACAGGGTGACGTTATATCCCAAAACTCTTCACCGCTGCATTAGAAGACGTTTTAAAGCTACTGGACTGGAAAGGATACGGTATTAACATCAATGGCGAGTACATCACTCACCTTCGATTTGCCGACGATATAGTCGTTATGGCAGAATCGTTGGAGGACCTAAGCACTATGCTCAATGACCTCAATAGTGTCTCCCAACGGATAGGTCTAAAGATGAACATGGCCAAAACAAAGATCATGTTTAATGTCCATGTCACACCTATACTGGTAGTTGTGGGGAACACTAAGCTTGAAGTTGTTGACGAGTATGTTTACCTGCAACAAATAGTCTGACTAGGTAAGTCCAACTTCGACTGAGAGGTCAATTGACTGATTCAACTCGGCTGGGCAGCGTTCGGGAAATTACGACACATCTTCTTGTCAAGTATACCTCAAAACCTGAAAACTAGATTGTACAACCAGTGCGTGTTGCCGGTGATGACTTACGGATCTGAGACGTGTTACTTCACTGCTGGCTGTATGAGGACGCTCAAGGTCGCTCAGCGAGCTATGGGAAAGGCTATGCTCGGAGTTTCTCTGCGTGATAAACTTAGAAATGAGGATAACCGCAGTAGAACCAGAGTGACCGACATAGCCCAACGGATTGGTAAGCTGAAGTGGCAATGGGCCGGCCATATAGCTTGTAGAACCGACACCCAATGGGGAAAAAGGTTTCTCGAGTGGCAGCCTCATACCAGTAAGCGTAATGTTGGCTGACTCCCCACTAGATGGAGTGACGACCTGGTAAGACATGCAGGAAGTCGATGGATGCAGGTGGCGGTTTTGTGCCTTCCCTTGGGGAGGCCTATGTTCAGCAGTGGACTTGTGAAGTAATGATGATGAAAAGTCCACTGCTGTTCATGAGCCTCTTCCATTGATGATTGCAGTACCAGATATCTCACGTCCTTAACGTTGCTACCCGTCGTCGTTCTGGGTATTATTATACATCTGGCGTGAACGAGATGCTATAAGATTTTTAGATAATTAACTCTCTCTCTCTCTCTCATAGCTCCAATGGGACTAAATGGGCTAATGGATTCTCTTAGGCCGCCGCACCGTATATTATTAACACCCTTTTAAATATTTAAATTTATTTGATTTGATGTGTATGCACTTTGTCTTATACCACTAAATACTTAAGTGTTCAATACTGATACAGCTATCACAGTTGATATTTATGCAGCGATTGTTTAAAATCAGAGAACCTCTGGCAAGGACAAAAATAAAAAATTGTTTATGCCTGGGATTGATTTTGTAGTACGATACGATTAACTGTATTTCTACATAAGAATATTCTTTTAATTAAGATGCTGACGTGCTATTTTCAGCCTCGTCCTTTAGGTATGATTTGGTGAAACTTTGTCAGAACTCCTTTTTGAGCTAATTATACAGCATTATTTTTCAAAGAGTAGCCAAATTTTAAACTTAAGTTCAAATGTATAGGTAATGATATACCGTTATTGCAGTTTTTTGAAAATATGACTAAATAAGACTTCTAATTTTATTTAAAATTATCCCAAATTGAATGTGACTTATGGGCAACGTTTTTGCATACCGATTAACACTTATGAAAGTGTGCGTTCGCAGTAAAATCGTTTAAAAAATGCATTACCTCGCATTTTGAATTTAAAAGATAAAAAGGACAGTTTGAGGTTTTTTAATTAATTTTTCTTCACCATTTGCCTATATTACTTATTCTGACACTTCTCTGCAAATATGGCCGGTTATTTCAAAATAACCCTGTATGTAATAATAGTAATTAATGGACTCTAATTGCCATAGATTAATTCGTATTTTTATCTTTAGTATAACATGTGACAATATTGCATTTCAGCTTTCATAGCATCGTACAATCAAACAATGACTCATTGGTATTCCAAGGCAATATTTCAAGAGCGAGGGCAGGAGATTGTTGACAGCCTCAAGTCTTGCTTAGTGGATTCGCTAAAGCATTACCTGCGTGTTAACGGTAGACTGCCAGACAGAATTATTATTTACAGGTTAGTTATTATATGTTTTTGTATTAAGTATCTTTTAGTAAAATATACTATATAAAATAATATCATAGTAAAAACGTGCTGAATGTTTTTTTTAGTTCCATTACATTGTTTGAATGCTAGAAAAATGCCCATTAAATTTCTTTAAATTATTCCTTTAAGAAAAATAGATTACTTATAAATATATATTTCCGCGCTTTTGCAAAATAATTTCGTTCGTAACATACAACCAGTGGTGATTAAATGACCTTGTAATGGGGGTGTAAGAATATCCACTACCCTATCTCGTCCTGTGGGTGTCGTAAGAGGTGACGAAAGGAAACAAGCCAGGAGATGTGCAGCAGCGTCTTGCTGATAACAGCTCAAAATTATAAAAACTGTGGTCGCCAATCCACTAGCCGTGAGTGGCAACTATGACATAATTCCCTCTATGAGGCAATCTATGGGAAGGCCTATGTTCAGCAGTGTACTTTTATGGACTGTAATCGATAGATGGATGTATAAGATTCTGAGAGGGTGTTAGGGCAAGGAAGTGTCCGCAAATGCGTGTTGGCGAACGTCACATGTCTTCGAAATATTTTTTTTTCTTATTCCTCAGACATGTAGGTTTCCTCATGATGTTTTCCTTCACCACCGAGCATGTGGTAAATCAGCACTTAAAATTACAATCAACAATTTCATTGGTGCCGGTGGGGAGTGAACCGGGGTTACTCGCGTTCTGTTATATTTACAGCGAGCGTTAACCATCTGAGGTACAACGGCTTACCCTCTCAGAAATGAGGGGAGGTCTGTGCCAGCAGTGGGATGTATATAGGTTGTAACTTTACTTTACTTTATGTATAAGATTACAGACAAAATTCCTCCCCAACAGATTGCCTCATAGCACAATTACCATGTTTTAGTTTAGTTTAGTTTAGTTTGCGACGGGCTGTTTTCCGCAACTCCACGTCTGTGCGCGTATTTTGCGTGTGGGCAGGAATAATGTGTTTATTCGAGCCATGAGATCTCCCCGAAGAAGCTCAACAGTCCCTTGATGTTGCATGCAACTTCGGGGAGTGATCCCGGCGTGCCGAGATGTTTAGCCCTGTACGTAGCGACCTCCGGACATTTCAGTAGCACGTGGGCCGCCGTTTCTTCCTCCCCCATACATGCCCTGCACAGGGAACTATCTGTAACACCTATAGTAAATAAATGTTTGTTAAAGGTGCCGTGTCCTGTGATAGCACTTGTTACTATCCTGATCTGTGGCTTGTTCAGTCTCATTAGAACTTTGGTTAAGCGACTGTTTATTACAGGTAGTGCCTCCCTAGCTTGTCTGCAGTCTACTAGATTTTTCCAAAGCTGAGCGTGTTGATTAGTGAAGTGTCTACGTACCATTGAACGAACGTTACCAAAGGGTATTGGTATGATTGGTTCCGGCCCTATAGTGGCCAGAGCCGATCCTCTTCTGGCCAGTTCGTCCGCTGCATCGTTGCCTCTGGATCCACTGTGTCCCTTTATCCATTGCAGAGTCACATTGTTGTTTTTACATACCTCATTTAATCGTTGATGGCATTCATATATTAGTCCCGAGTTCACCCCATTGCAACTCAGAGCTTGTAGTACCGCCCTACTGTCGGTCAGTATTCTGATGGGGAAGTCATTTACCTTCCTAGCATCTATTGCTATGGCCGCTTGAATGATACCCATACATTCCGCCTGAAAGACCGTGTTATAGGTACCCAGCGGTGTGCATATGTGAATATTGAGGTCTTCAGAGAAAGCTCCAGAATCTACACCTTCATTTGTTTTAGAACCATTGGTGAAAATTCTAAGCTCTTTTGGGCTTAATCCTTCCGGCTGGCTGTTTTCATTTAATTGTATCTTGTATTTCTTATCGAAAACAAAATGTTTAGGAATCCTATCGTATTTGGCTTGTAGGATAGGAATTTCTGAGTGAATTCTATCAATTATGCCTGTATGAGGGACACTATTCTTACTCCAAAGATTTAGGGTCTTGAGTCTGATGGCAGCTAAAGTCGCTTCTTGTTGTATATTCTACATATACAACAAGAAGCGACCTTAGAAGAAGCGGAGTTAGCTCCAGCATCGCTTCCAAGGCTGCTGTTGGCGTAGTTCTTATGCAGCCTGTGGCAGCCATACATGCCAGTCTCTGGTAGCGCTGAAGCTTCTTAATTGTGGTGGCTTCATTGGTCTTGGTCCACCATACCAGAGCGCCGTATGTGATCATGGGCCGAATTACAGTTTTGTAAAGCCACAGTATGATTTTTGGCGTCAGTCCCCATCTTTTGCCAATCATGTTTCTGCATTGCCAGAAAGTTATACTAGCTTTGTTGATTTTGTTTTCTATGTGTTTATTCCAGTTAAGTTTGCTGTCCAAGGTAAGACCTAAATATTTTACCTCAGAGGATAGCTGGAGTTTTGTGCTGAAAAGACTTGGAAGATGATAGTTATTCAGCATTCGTTTTTGTGTGAACATTACTAAAACCGTTTTATTTGGGTTGACGGTTAAGTCGTATTCCCTGCACCATCTCTCCACTATACGGAGAGCCGCTTGGGTCAGGTCGCACACTATGCTTGCTGTCTTTCCCGAGACCAGTATTGTCAGGTCATCAGCATAACCTACTGTATAGAAGTGATTAGTATTTAATTTGCTGATGAGTTCATTAATGACCATATTCCACAGGAGAGGTGAGAGGACCCCACCCTGCGGGCAGCCTTTCTTAATTAGGATTGGTTGAGATTCACCAGCAATCTTTATTATTCGTGTACTGAGCATGCAAACTATCCAGTCGATCAGTGCCGGTTCAACTTTATGTCTACTGAGTGCACCTTTTATGCTGGAGAATTTCGTTCTGTCAAAAGCACCTTCTATATCTATGAAAGAACCTAGACATATTTCTTTGTTTTGGATGGCCTCTTCAATCTTTGTAATTACCTGATGTAGTGCCGATTCAGTTGATTTGCCTAGACTGTAGGCGTGTTGCTTGTCGTGTAGTGGTAAGTTCATTAGCGCCGACCCCCCTTAATTCCCTTTCACACATCCTCTCCATCGTCTTTAGGAGAAAGGATGTGAGGCTAATGGGCCTGTAGGATTTAGGGTCAGTGTAATCGCTCTTACCTGGTTTGGGTATAAATGTGACTTTCACTTCCCTCCATCCCCTAGGAACATATTTAAGAGCCAGACAGGCTCTCATTATGGCAACAAGTCTGACTATTAGGGCTTTACCCCCCCACTGTAGGAGTGCCGGGAATATGCCGTCAACTCCTGCCGCCTTATAGGGGAGGAAACTGTGAATGGCCCAATGGATTTTGTCCATCGTTACCACTCTCTGTGCTTTAGCAGGCAGGTAATTACCATGTTTAGCAGGCAGGTTGGCAACTGCAGTTCTTCATTATTTCGAGTTGTTATCAAGAAAATGCTCCTACCTGTAAGGGAACAGAGGGCAACTAAAAAAGGAGATCCTTTTTTAGTTGCCCTCTGTTCCCTTGTAGAGGCGCATGTAAGGTTGCCAGATGGTCTGGATTCGTCTGGATTCTCCCGACATTTTAAATGATCTCCAGACTCCCGACAAAATTCTAAATCTCCAGCCAAACATCTCCTCGGAAAGTTAGTGTATGGCCTTCGATTTAAAGCTGAGTTAGTAATTTGCACACAGTCTACCTGATGATAAGTGGTTGCTGTAGCCCATAGACATCTACATCTATCCTCGATTACAAATTAAAATGCAGATGCGTTGTCAACCGTGAGGACTTAGGTGGTATGCCTCATTTCCAATAAAAAGGGGCTCCGGTTCTCTACACTCACCATACGAAACACAGCAGCATTAAGCTATTTGACGCTGGTATTCTGTGAGAGCGTGGTCCTTCCCCGGTCGAGCCGACCCATTCGTGTTACAACTATACTACTAATATAACTGCAGCATGGCTCTACCACGTAAAAATGCCATATACATGTGGTAATCTAAATATTAAGTTAAATATATATACTTAAATTCGTTTTATTTAATGTACTTTTTGTAGCCTCTTAATTAAAAACATAAACTTTATTTTTATTATTCATTTCTCCCAATAACAACCCCAAAACCCCGACTTTTTCAAAATTTGCCCAGATATTTTGGTCTACCGATCTGGCAACCCTAGATGCAACTTGTTTCTTTACGCCGCCACTACATGGCAATTTAATACTTATTGACCTTTATCGTCAGGGATGGTGTTGGTGATGGTCAGCTGAAACTCGTCCAGCAGTACGAGATACCTCAAATGCAGATATGCTTTTCCCTCCTTGGTACAACTTACAAACCGACACTAACATATATAGTGGTACAGAAGCGTATAAATACCAGAATTTTCTTGAAATCTGATAAAGGATTCGAAAACCCGAGTCCCGGTACTGTTGTCGATCACGCAATTACACGAAGAGATTGGTAAGTAATTACTTTTTATTCATTTTAGTGTGTCGTTCCTAACTAAGCAAAACGCAATACTTATTTGGAATCTTATCAGTGTGTGTCTGTTGCAGAGGGTTTTTTGTGAGATTGTTACAATTAAATGATTTAAATTTTAAGTTTAGAGTTGTAATTCTGCTTAATATTTTAGTTGTAAAAAATGGTTAACTAAATATACCTTTAAGATGAATTAATTTTGGGGGAAAGTAACCTTAAAAGCTTTTTATAGTATCATTTTAAAGATTTACTTATGTAATTTATTATTTTTTGTTTAATTTCTATACCCGAAAAATTAATTTGATAAGGGGAGACTTTCGTATGAACCAATCCCACTATAAAAGTTGTTATTTATCTACACAATTGAGAAGCTGCATTAATTTTTTTCCCAGAAATTTATTTATAAATGAAAGAATAATTCATTTAAGGTATATTTAAATATTTTTTTTTAATAGCAATCCCATTTTTTTAGTGATTATTAATAAAAAATCGTAAATTTTTTGATAAAAAACTACTTGTAATTAGTTGTGACGTAATTATTATATCTGTTGAAGCTGTGAGCGAATCGCAATCATGCTATACAATGTATTTTCTATATTCAGATCACCATGTGTCATGTAACTCAAAACAGATACAACCTGTATTTATGCAATGACAATTTTTTCAATTTTGATAATGTGAAAACGAGTGTTTTATCATTTCACCATGCTCTGGAGTTACTAAAGCGATATAATGACATCACTGGAATTTGAATTTACATTTTAGAAAAACCATTTTTAATTGTAAAATTACATGAAAAATTAAATCGTAATATTTTTTTTATTTTTCTTAATTAGTTTTAGTGAACTTTAAAAAAAAATAATAAATAAAATAAAAAAATATCTAACTTCTCTGTTAGACTGTGGAGGGGGTTTGTGTATGATGGCACAATAGAGTTAATATTTACATTAGAATTTTTCCGTTCCAGGTACGATTTCTTGATTGTGTCTCAGAAAGTGAACCAAGGCACAGTCACACCAACACATTACGTGGTGGTACACGACGATAGTGGAATGACCCCCGACCAATGCCAGCGGCTCACATATAAAATGTGCCATTTGTACTACAATTGGCCGGGCACTGTACGGGTCCCCGCTCCATGCCAGTACGCCCATAAACTTGCATATTTGGTGGGCCAAAACATACACCAACAACCATCGGAGGCTCTTACTGATAAACTATTCTTCTTATAGATTTTAATTATATATCATTTTTTTCTACATGCATGAAATATAAAGTAAAACAAATACTTGATAGTATTAAAATGACAAAATTAAAATTTAATTAGTCAAAATGGGTCAATTATAGCAGTTAAGTTCGATATTGATTACAATTTTGTTATTTCGGTAGTGAACATGAGTTTTATGAAACACTGTTTCCTTTAAGAACTGGAATACAGAAATCAAACAGGTGTTTTGTTAAAATCCTAAAACTGTTTCGTACATTTATTACTCCCGTGACATAATAGTTTTAAAATAAGAAAGTCGTAATAAAGGAAAAATAGTACTGTTTATATGTTTTAAATTAGTTTCGTGAAGTCCTACGTACAAAGCTTAAATATATATTGTATATGTTCTGACAGTTGTTCAGGATTTCTTCATAGACATTGCAGTGTTCTCTTGAGAATTGAAATTAAATCAAATTATTTAAAAAAAATTGGAAATTAAATGATCTGTTTTCTATAATAAGCAGAATGATATAAAGTAGCTTTAACTAGATTGTTTATTGCGTATACATTAAAAAAAAACTGACCATTTTATGGAGTGTGGCTGATTTAATACTTCAATTAATATCTATAGTCGTAGAACAAAGTTAAGCAGTTAAATGCTTAGTAAGGTTTGTTCATGGTTTACTTTGTGTTTTATGTTGTTAAAGTATTAGAATTTAAAATTAGTCATAGTTTTAGTTACTTTGTTAAAATCTTAAAATGAGAAATCGTATGATAATCATTAATTATATTTTTATAATAAGAATCTGTTTTTGTGACTTAAGGTATATTACTAAACACTACAATTTAAGTCTCTGTTCCGAGTAAACTTGTTAATGAAACAAAATGGATAGACATTGCACTCGGTTATAATAACTGATGCAAGTATATAGCTATATTTTTGTACTTTTTAGCTGTGTGTGTGTAAACTTTTGTGAATATGCCGTATACGGGGAAATAATGATGTTCTTTTGGTCCATTTCGAACGCGGCCACCTCTTTAAAAAGTAGACTTTTAAAGCTATCCGGGCGGCGTTTAGTTCATACTAAATGTACCACTATTTTCTTTCTAGATAATTGAAACAAAAGATAAATTATATATGCCATGTTTCAATTTTTTTGTTTTTTGCTATAAAATAGTTATTTTAATAATTTGAGTCGTCCAACATTTCTACTACCAAACAAATTTGTTATAATTCTTTTTGTAATTTTTGTCAAAAAGACATTCTTCTTATTATGCCCTTGAAAACAAAATCTCTCCCGGTTTGGAAGAGGAAACAGTTTTCAGTTTTCTCTCTCGGTTTTCTAGCTCGGTTGTTCGGTAACAACTCACTTTAAAAGTCTCGTGACCCATATATCCTATTAACACCAATAATTTGTTTTTCCGTAAATGCTGAAATCCGAACCCGGGACCCAAGATGTAGGTAGGAGCTACTTTGCTCATACGACCGTTTAGAGGAAATGTGTAAATACGTGTGGAATTGCGAAAATGCGGTAAGACATTTTGAGAAATGAGTTTGTAACGGATTAATTGCTGTCTTCAATAGTATATACATAGTACTACATATCAAAGTCGTAACTTCTGATAGTTTTTAGATGTGCTCGAAGTGGCTCTTTATGACATGAATTACGGCTGGTATGAATCGAAGGTTATCAGTTAAATATGCGGGTACTTTTCCTGCTTCTGTGTTGTTATATTGAGTGATGCTATTATATAAGTTGTTTTAAGTTAGTTCAGTGAAGATTTGAATTTAAAAAAAAAAACACTCCTTTTTAAGTTTTTGTTCAATCGTAATAATACCTTTATTTTTATTAGAGATGGGCCGAATATGGGTATCACCGAAAACTTACCGAACCGAATATTCGGCCGAACATTATTCGGCAGGATCACCTCGGTACCTAACCAATTTATGTCGAGAGTTGTTACCGTAAAGCAAGCGGGATTAGCGCCTTACCTTGCACCTCGCTCCCCCGTCACACCTGACATGTTATGGCATCATCTAATACTGAGTAAATTGCCGGCACATCCTTGTTTTGACTATTTTCGTGAAAAAAAAAAGTATTTCGTTATGATATTTTTAGTGAAAATTGATGATAATATGATAAAAATGAGTGGCAGGAGATCTACTATTTGGACTTATTTTAGAGAAACTGACGACCAAAGTAAAGTGAAATGTGCTTATGTAATGTAATGTTTCTTTGTTTGATTCCAAAAACATTTATCAAGCTTTCTATTTGCTATATTGAAAATAAATCTACAGTGCCTCAAAAACGTAACGCTATACAAATAGATTTAACTCATAAATAAAATATACTTTCAACAGTAAAATTATGGAAGGCAGCATTGTTCATACATGTTTTCAATACAGTGGACACCTTGAGTACCACTTTAATGAATGTTCGGTGATTTAGCCGAATATTCGGCCGAATACGAATATTCGGTAAAGCTGCCGAATATGCCGCATACCGAATATGAAACGAATATTCGGCCCATCTCTAATTTTTATCTATTCTTAGCATTCTATTTGAATGAAATACTCAACGAATTTTATTTCAAGGTGTTTTTTTTTCTTATTACTGCCGCAAACGCAAGAAAATAAATCTACAGTGCCTCAAAAAAATAACGCTATACAAATAGATTTAACTCATAAATAAAATATACTTTCAACAGTAAAATTATGGAAGGCAGCATTGTTCATACATGTTTTCAATACAGTGGACACCTTGAGTACCACTTTAATGAATGTTCGGTGATTTAGCCGAATATTCGGCCGAATACGAATATTCGGTAAAGCTGCCGAATATGCCGCATACCGAATATGGGAACGAATATTCGGCCCATCTCTAATTTTTATCTATTTTTAGCATTCTATTTGAATGAAATACTCAACGAATTTTATTTCAAGGTGTTTTTTTTTCTTATTACTGCCGCAAACGCAAGAAAATAAATCTACAGTGCCTCAAAAACATAACGCTATACAAATAGATTTAACTCATAAATAAAATATACTTTCAACAGTAAAATTATGGAAGACAGCATTGTTCACACATGTTTTCAATACAGTGGACACCTTAAGTACCACTTTAATGAATGTTCGGTGATTTAGCCGAATATTCGGCCGAATACACGAATATTCGGTAAAGCTGCCGAATATGCCGCATACCGAATATGAAACGAATATTCGGCCCATCTCTAATTTTTATCTATTCTTAGCATTCTATTTGAATGAAATACTCAACGAATTTTATTTCAAGGTGTTTTTTTTCTTATTACTGCCGCAAACGCAATAGTGCACCTACTGTCGTATTATGATATTAACTTAAATTGAAATTTTTAAAAACCCCCGAAACAAAAAGAACTGATTATCTTCAAACGGCTAAACAGATTTTGTTGAATCTTACCTTAAAACACTCGATTAAGACATTTTTCAAATAATTTCTTCTTAATCAAAACCGGTTCATCCATTGCACATAGGTGATACACGTATACATATAGTACAAACTTTTAACACCTCTCTGTTTTCGTAAGGGGTTTAAATAATGGTTAAAAAGTCGATACGAATTACAAGCTTTGAGTCTTTTTATCTTGGTTCCCAGGGGTGATCTGTAAACACCTCCTTTGTTGTATACATGTAGTGGAATTGACCACTTGCAATCACATGGAATTTGAGTTTATTGTAACTATGTGATACTTAAAAGATTATTAGAATACTTATTAGCACAAGGTACCGAAGGATCACTCCGTAAAGACATTTAAATAAATAGCAACTATTAAAACGCATTAAAGTGCATTTCAGTTCGCACATATTTGAGTGCCTAATATTTCATTCACCTACAATGTGCCTCTATCTATCAAGGCACTATTTCTTCTATCATGGCACGTGTAACGAGGGGCTTACGAGCATTCCTGGCCACTCGAATTGAACTGCCAAAACGGTCCCACCGATATACTTATAGTTTCGTACGTAAAATGCGGAATGCACCTGGACTGGTAATACAGCATAATCACAATTTCAAGTCGTTACGAAATGGTTAATTTTTAATAAAAATGAATTATAATATCTATAAACATTCTTAATTACCATAAGTTATGATATACTGATGTCTTAACATGTTCTACCTTGGGTAGTTAAAGATATCATTGTGGGGTCGTTATTATACTTTAGTAATTAAGTATTGGACATAAGTATATTAAAAAATTGATATAATTTTAACTGCTATCCATATATCCAGTATTACATGTTATACGTTATGTCAAAAAAATACGTGGAATTTGGTCTAAATTTATATCCGATACCATTTCTTATTTTCTAGAAAATGTTACGTTTTTTATCTCTTTGTGTATTCTATCGCATCTACCACTTGGAGCGCTCTGAGGAATTGTTCGGACTAATTCCAGCCACTTAATTTCACCATCGCACATCGCGATACCATCTATATACCATCTGGATTATCACCTGCGGTTTGTTCTACCGGACTTAGGGACTTTCAAGAAACAGCCTACGTCTATTTTTAAAGAGCCGGCAACGCACCTGCAATTCCCCTGGTGTTGCAGTTGCTCATGGGCGGCGCTGGTCACTTACCATCATGTGGGCCGTATGTTCGTTTGCCCCACTTATATATGAGGGAAAACATTTCTATTTTGCAAAATGCATCATCACTTTTATACGTGGTATTTTATTAAGTTATTAGTATGTTATTAAGGATGTAAAATCAATTTTAGTTTTTACTTGTCTGTCTGGGCTATTCTAAAATAGATAGACAGCAATAACAGGAGTGATTTTGGCGTTATATTATGCAAAAACATAGAGAATTACTTTTAAATCGTAAAATAGATATTATAGAATGATATTTGATGACTATCCCCATAAACTATAACAGATAAAAAGATTCGAACCAATTTTTTTTTTAAATTTGCTACATTTGAAGATTACAAATTTTCACGTCAATCAATCCGTCACATAGATAAAAACACGCGAAGCTAATA